TGTGAGTCGTTCGGGCCCTTCTTCGTGGTGTGAGTCGTTCGGGCTCTTCGTGGTGTGAGTCGTTCGGGCTCCTCGTGGGGCCTCTTGGGGACCTCTTGGAGCCTCTTGGGGCCTCTTGGGGGCCTCTTGGGGGCCTCTTGGGGGCCTCTTGGGGGCCCCTTGGGGCCTCTTGGGGCCTCTTGGGGGCCTCTTGGGGGCCTCTTGGGGGCCTCTTGGGGCCTCTTGGGGGCCTCTTGGGGGCCTCTTGGGGCCATCTTGGGGCCTCTTGCGACCTCCTCAGAAGCGCAAAGGAGCGCTGCCCCCTGAGAAGGACAAAATGAGCCCAAAACCTTTGTAAAATCAATGATTTTGCTATGAAGGAAGATGAGCGCGGCCCCCTCAGGAGGCCAAAATGGGGCCAACACCATAGTAAAATCAATGTTTTTGGCTTCAAAGACGAGTGGAGGGGCCAAACTACCTCCCCCCCTCGGGACCAGAATCCTCGTGAGGGTCGTCGTTTTTGTGGCCCTCCCAGGAGTCGAAAAAGACCCCCTTGATCCCACTCGGCCCGCCCTCTCCAGGTCCAGGGGAGGGGGTAGGGGGAGGGGTGAACCCCTCCCCGAAGGGGAAGATAGGGGGTTAGAGGGTTGAGAACAGAGAGAGCTCTCTAAACCACTCACGCCCAAAGGGCTGGTGGGATTCGCTGTCAAGGCTGTTGCTCGGGGAGGTCCAGATACTGCGCACCAGATCCTGAGGTTCTTGGAAGCACCTCGGACACAGCGGGTCGACGAGGTAGCCTTGCATTCGGCGTCGAGATCTGCACAAGTGGTCGCCGCTGCCCACCGCCATCTTTCTGCTCCAGCTGGCCCACTCCCCTCTCCGCGCCCGCCGCTGCAGCTCGCGCCTGGTGAGGTGGACGTCCGCGCCCGCCTTCAGCTCCTCGCTCTGCGGGCGGTTCGCCGCACGTCGCCACAGCTGGTGTTGCAATGTCTTCAACGCACCCCGCGGAGCAGCGCCTGGTGGTCGCTGACGGAGCCGAACGCCTCCGAGTCCACCTCGACCACGTGCCACTCGGTGTGATCAGCCCCGTCCTGGAGGGAGGCTTGCCACTCCCATCGTCCGCCATGCTCTGGTCGTGCCCACATCGTGGCCGTCCTCGCTTCCCAGCCGATGTCCAGGAGGTTGGCTCGGATGGTCCCGATGGGCCCGCGTACCCTGCTCCATCGCCGGCTGGGGCCAGCCCTGGTCAGGCCAGCGCGGACGAGCGGCCACGCCCTCTTGCTGCTCGCGCGCAGCTCTGGGGCCGTCTCCCGCGGCTCGAGCCACGCGTCCATCGGCTGGGTCCCGGTCTTGACGGCCGGGTCCTCCCCCTGCGCGAGGGCTACATGCCGCGGCCGGGCAACGGCCCCGCTTCGCCTCCATGCGGTGGCCCCGGCCTGCTGCCGCAACTGTCCTGGCGTGCGGCGGCGCCGGCCAGACCCTGCAGCCGGTGGCCGTACGCGGCCTCAGGGGGTGCCCTCGTCGACCAGAGGCCCCCAGCCTGCAGCGCCAGCGCTGCTCTCCTCCGCACCTGCCTGATCTTTTGCCCACTCGCCTCTTGGCCGCCTCCTGGCATCGCTCGGACGTGTGCATTTTTTCTCGGCGAGGGCCATCGAGGAGCATCCTTGATCATGTGGCGAGAAAACCACGCACGAAACCGAAAAAAGCACAGGGACTGGACGTCCGAGCGATGGCGAGGCCTTGGTGGACGCGCAGGCCGTTCCTCCTGCAGCAGCCTCGCCTGCCCGCCGCCGCATCGCCCCCCCTCCTCCTCCTCCTCCTCCTCCTCCTGCTCCTCCTCCTCCTCTCCTCCTCCTCCTCTCTCCTCCTCCTCCTCCTCCTCCTCCTCCTCCGCCTCCCTCCTCCCCTCCCCTCCTCCTCCCCCTCCTCCCTCCTCCTCCTCCTCCTCCTCCTCCTCCTCCTCCTCCTCCTCTCCTCCTCCTCCTCATCCTGCTCCACCGTACGTCGCTTAGCGCGGTCATGACAGGCAGGACGTCCGGCCACAGTTCCCACGCAATCCCAGGCCCCAGCTCCGAGACGGAAGCCAGCAGTGTCGTCTCTCCCGAGATTGTGAGACCTCGTTCTTCCACGAGGCCCTCCACGCGCGTGTTCATGACAGGCAGGACGTCCGGCCACAGTTCCCACGCAATCCCAGGCCCCAGCTCCGAGACGGAAGCCAGCAGTGTCGTCTCTCCCGAGATTGTGAGACCTCGTTCTTCCACGAGGCCCTCCACGAGCGTGTTCACGATCGGCTTCATCTCGCGCTTGACTGCCTGCCTCGATCCTTCGCTCCTCGCGGTCGTGCCGTCCACGAAAGTCTAGAAACCAGCCTGCGACGCCACCGCGTGCGCCTGGGGCAGCACTTGGTGGATGAACAGTTTCGCCAGGGACATTCTCCTTGCCGACCCCGCTGCCACCTACCTCGTCGGCATGATCAGGCCGCCGATGCCGTGGCGCTGGTCCTTCAGCAGCCTCGGGGCGAGGAACAGCTGCATCTCCATGGCCACCACTATGGCGGGGCACCGCACCTGGACCGCCAGCTCCATCGGCATCGCCAAGCTGATCGCGCCGTAGAAGGTCCGCAGGTCCAGCAGCAGCGTCGCCGATGCCGTCTGGAGTTCGCTCCTTTCACGCCGTCTTGGCCCACTGCGTGAAGGCACGCCTGGACCCTCCCATCGCCCGTGCCTGGCCCACTGCGGCCATCGCATGCGTCATGTCCATCAGCCTCCCACGCTGGTGTGTGTCCAGCTGCGGCAGCTGGCCTGCTTTCGCCACTCCTCGAACTCCGTCTGGCCGACGAAATCGCCCACGCCGTCGCACGCCGTGTCCTTTGCCAGCGTCCGCACCTGATGGGCCACTCTACCTCGTTGGAGCTCGTCGCAGGCTCTTCTCGCCAGCGTCTGGTAGCGCATCAGCTCGGCGGCGAAATCCAAACCCTACCCTCGCCGATCAGCGTTTCAGGCAACTCGATGGGCGGCGGGGGTAGGGTTCGGAATTGGTCGAACACGCGGCGAAATCCGAACCCCAGCCCCGCCTCCCATTGATTCAGGATCGGGGCAACGGAAGACTCGAGTACGCCAGAACCCGGGCTGACCGACGCTCTTTGACGAGCGCGTCCTGGATTTTGACGGTCCAGTTTTCGTGGGGCGTTTGCAGCGGGAGCCCGCGTCAGATTTCAGACCGGGTCTCGTAATTCTCACGATGGCCCCGTCGTGCCGACCCGAGCCCCCCGAACCCGAGTCTTGCGTCCTCCCGACAGGCCTGGCATCGCTCGGACGTGTGCGTTTTTTCCCCGGCGAGAACCCTCGAGGAGCATCCTTGATCATTTGGCGAAAAAACCATGCACGAAGCCGAAAAAAGCACAGGGAATGGACGTCCGAGCGATGGCGAGCAGGAGGGTCGATGGTTGGCGGGGGTGGGGCTCGGATGTCGTCGCCCATCCGCAGGGCCGTCGCACAGTGCACATGCCTCTCCGGCCTGGAGCCCAGCAGTCTGGGCTCGGCCGGGCATATCCGCCCGTGCCCCGGCCCGGCGGATGCCGAAGCCTGGGACCCTCCCGCAGTGGCCGTCGCGCTCCTGCTCTGTGGGGCCCCATATGGTCGGCGAGGCGCGGCCAGGGGCGGAGTGAGAAGGAGCAGGCCTTCTCAGACTTGGTATCGCTCGGACGTGTGCATTTTTCCTCGGCGGGGATTCTTCAAGAGGGTTCTGGATCATCCTGCGGGAAAAACCACGCACGACACCGAAAAATGCACGGGAAATGGACGTCCGAGCGACGGCAAGCAGAAGGCCGTAGCCCTCCCGAGCCTTCGGAGAAGGCCCGCAACGTCTGACTTCCCCCCCGGCTCGCCGCCGACGTGCGTCTCCTGGAAGACCTCCTCCACCTGGGTGACCCACTTCCCGCACCTGCTGGAGATCTGCGCCGCCGTCGCTTCCTTTGCCGTGGTGCAACGCGTGCTCGTCCAGCGCCTGCACTGGGGGCTGAACTGGAGGAGGAGGAGGAGGAGGAGGAGGAGGAGGAGGAGGAGGAGGAGGAGGAGGAGGAGGAGGAGGAGGAGGAGGAGGAGGAGGGAGGAGGAGGAGGAGGGGGGGGGAGGAGGAGGAGGAGGGAGGAAGAGGTTGAGGAGGAGGAGGAGGAGGAGGAGGAGGAGGAGAGAGAGAGAGAGAGAGCTGGTAGGAGATAGGAGGTGTGATGATTATGATGACGATGCACGATGCTGATGATGCTGATGATGATGATGATGATGATGATGATGAACACTACGATGATGATACTGATGATGACGATGATGATGATGATGATGATGATGATGATGATGATGATGACGGTGGTGGTGATGATAATGCTGATGATGATGGGGATCGTGATCGTGATCGTGATGGTGGTGATGGTGATAGTGATGGTGATGGTGATGATGATTGTGATGACGATTATGATGATGATGCTGCTGATGATGTTACTGCTACTGCTGATGCTGCTGATAGTGATGGTGCTGTTGCTGCTGATGATTGCGATGTTGATGCTCATGCTGACGCTAATGTCACGGTGATCATGATATTGTTGATGATGATGGTGATGATGATGGTAATGTGTATGTTGATGTTAAGTTTGGTGTTGGTGCTGATGTTTTCGTTGATTCTGATGCTGGTGATGATGATGATGATGATGATGGTGATGATGATGACGATGATGATGATGATGATGATGATGATGATGATGATGATGATGATGATGATGATGATACTGATACTGATGATGATGATGCTGATGGTGATGATTGTTATGGTAATGATGCTGATTATGATGATGCTGGTGGTGGTGATGACGATGATGATGATGATGGTGATGATGATCATGATGATGACGAGGAATATGCTGATGGTGCTGTTGCTGCTGATGATGATGATGACGATGGTATGACGATGATGATGGTGATGCTGATGTTGAAGATGCTGTTGATGATGTTGCTGCTGCTGATGATGATCACGACGATGATTGTGAAGCTGATGGTGATGGTGGTGGTGTTGATGATAACGACGACGACGACGTCGACGACGATGATGACCATGATGAGTGTAATGATACTGATGCTGCTGCTGATGATGATGGTGATAGTTATGATGATGCTGCTGATGATGATGATGATGATGATGGTTATGATGGTGGTGAAGATGATGATGATGATGACGTCGATGACGGTGATGATGGTGATGATGATGATAACGAAGATGATGATGATGATGATGATGATGATGATGATGATGATGATGATGATGATGATGATGATGATGATGATGATGATGATGCTGATGCTGATGATGATGATGATGATGATGATGAGGAGGAGGAGGAGGAGGAGGAGGAGGAGGAGGAGGAGGAGGAGATGGAGGATCCGAGCCTCACTGGGTACGCCGTCCTCGAGGCAGTACCTTCGGCGCAAAGCCAGGGGCCCACAAGGGTCTGGCCGCCCCGTTGCGGGAAGTGTGATGTCTTGTTGTTGATGGGACAGTCTTTCCTCTCTCAACCAGTATTATCGCTCCTGCTCCCCCTCCACCAGTGCCCATCCATCTGAGCGCCAGTATTTTGATGGCCCGTCCGTTGCCAGATTCATCCTGCGCCCGCTGGCGACCCAGAATGTGACATCCCCTTGCTGGCTCCGCTGCTGCTCCTGCCCTGCTCTTCGCTCATCCGGTGGCCTTTTCGCCGTCAGGCGCGTCGACCGTCCTGCACTTCGACCGACCGGCCGGCTGGCTGGCCGGCCGGCCAGGAGGAGGAGGAGGAGGAGGAGGATGAAGAGGAGGAGGAGGAGGAGAGGGAGGAGGGAGGAGGAGGAGGAGGAGGAGGAGGAGGATGAAGAGGAGGAGGAGGAGGAGAGGGAGGAGGAGAGGGAGGAGGGAGGAGGAGGAGGAGGAGGAGGAGGAGGAGGAGGAGGAGGAGGAGGAGGAGGAGGAGGAGGAGGAGGGGGAGGGGAGGGGAGGGCGAGGGGGAGGAAGGGGGAGGAGGAAGGAGGAGGGGGAGGAGGGGGAGGGGAGAGAGAGGGCGAGGGGGAGGGAAGGGGGAGGAGAAGGAGGAAGAGGAGGAGGAACCACCGCTGCCACCCTTTGGGGTGGTCGAGGGGCACGGGTATGGAGCGCCGAGGTGTCGTGGCTGAGTAGCCTTAGTGTTTTTTCCCCCCGCGGTCCCCCCCGCGGCTTGTGCCGCCGCTGCCCGCGCGTATCGCCCTCCCCTTGTTTCAAGGCGCCCGCCTCGGCTTGGGCCGCCGCCTCCGGGTCCTTCGCTCATGGGACGTTCCTTCCCTCGGCTGCTCCTCCTGCTCGCGCCCCCTCTCAGCTCGAGCGCCGCTCACAGGCCTTCCAGTCCAGGCCGCTCCGCGCTGCACCCCTCTGCTCGGTCCGCCGCCTCCCCGTCCCCGCTGCGTTACTTGGCCGCCCGGACCCACAGGTTCCATTGTGTCCTTGCAGGGTGCCCTCCTTCCCCGCGTCCTTGGCATCGCTCGGACGTGTGCGTTTTTTCCTCGGCGAGGACCATCGAGGAGCAACCTTGATCACTTGGCGAAAAAAACACGCACGAAACCGAACAAAAACACAGGGAATGGACGTCCGAGCGATGGCGAGCGTCCGTGCGCTTCAGCTTTGCCTTCAGCTTCAGCCGTGGCCTCACCACGAATCGCTCTCAGGGGAGCTCGCCCGAGTCGGTCGTCTGCCCACGCGGAGCGCCAATCAAACCGGACGCCCTCATCCATTCTCCTTCGTTGCGCCCTCCTCCCCACGTCCTCCTTCTCCTCCACCTTGTCCTGCCCACGCCCTGCATCGCCCTGCCGCTTCTTCTCCTCTCTCTGCCCCCTCCGCCCCTCTGCGCTTCCAACTCCCCCCGCCCTCTCTCTTTCTTGGAGGAGCCAGGAGGAGGAGGAGGAGGACGACGACGACGAGTGTGTAGCCTCCCCTCCCTGGTCCAATCGCTCTGCGAAAACAGAGCCAGCTAATGCGATGCGAGTCGACACACGTCCGTGTAAGCCTGTGAGTGTATGTATGTATGCATGTATGTGAGTCTGGGAAATCTCTTCGGCACCGACTGCGCCCTGGGCCCCGCCCCCTCCGGCCGCCTGAGGTCCCGCCCGCCTGTGCCTTGTCTCCCTAATTAGAGCTGTGTGTAGCCCGCCTAGCTTTTAACGGAAGAGGTTCGCCCTCGCCCCGCCGACCAAAAATTGTATGTGAATATGCACGTACGTTTGTAGGAATGTATAGGTTATGGATGGATGTATGCATGTGCGCATGACGTATGGATGTATGGATGTATGCATGCCGTATGTATGTATGTGTGTATGAATGTTCGTGTGTGTGTGTGTGTGCATGTATGTGTGTATGCATGTCTGCGTGCATGCATCTATGTATGTATGTGTGTATGCGTGTATGCATGTAGGTATGTATGTACGTATGTATGCATGTATGTCTGTACACATGCATGTATGTGTGCATGCATGTATGTATGCATGTATGTGTGTACTTATGTGTGTATGCATGTATGTAGGTATGCAGGTCGGTAGGCAGGCAGTTGTGTATACCTATGTGTAGGTATGCATGTACGCACGCACGCACGCACGCACGCACGCACGCACGCACGTATGGATGGATGGATGGATGGATGGATGGATGGATGTATGCATGTATGTATGTATGTATGTATGTGTGTGTATGTATGTATGTATGTATGTATGTGTGTATGTATGTATGTATGTATGTATGTATGTATGTATGTATGTATGTATGTATGTATGTATGTATGTACGTGTGCATGCATGTTCGTATGTATGCATGTACGTACGTACGTATGTGTGTATGCATGGGGGTATGCATGCATGTCTGTATGTGCTTGTGTGCATGCATGCATGTATGTATGCAGACATGCATGCATGTCTGTGTGTATGTTTATATATGTATACATATATGTATGGATAGGTGTATGTGCTTCTGTGTGTATGTGTATAGGCACGTGTGTATGGATGCATGCATGCAGGTATGTAGGTAGGTAGGTATGTAGGTAGATAAGTAAGTAGGTAGCTTGGTATGTAGGTAGGTTTTTGTATACATGCATATACATATACCCCAGGCGTACCCGAAAACATCCGGACTGATCGTGCAAGATCCAGCTCGAGCCGCGGAGCCGCAAAAGCCATTCAGCCCTTCGCGAGCCCGCCTTTCGCTCTGCCCGCTTTCCCGAGCCTTCGCTCCCCTTGGCCCCCCGCAAGCCTCGCGCGGGCAAGCGTTGCAGTCTCCCTCTGGACCCCGCTCTCCTGCCTGGGTGGCACTGGGCGAGGTGTCGATTTCGCCTCGATCCTCCCCCTCGCCGTCCTCCTCCTCCTCCTCCTCCCCCTCCTCGCCCTCCTTCTCCTGCGGACCTCTGAGAGGTCCGCTGGACATCCGAAAAGAGGTACACAGCCATAGTGTCCAAGCCGACCTCAGCGAGGTCCGCCAGATATCCGAGAGCGAGTATTTTAGTGTCCACGTGGACCCCAGAGGCCCGCCAGGCATCCGAAAACGGATGTCAACTTCAAGTGGCCAAGCGGGCCCGCGAGGTCTGCCGGACGTCCGCACACGGGTGGCATACTTTAGTGCCCAGGCGGACCTCGGGTGGGTCCGCCAGACAACCGAAAGCGGTCGGGCACGTGAGGTGTTGTTATCAGGGGTGGACAGAATCCTCAACAGTGACACGTCGATTAGTGATTTGTCCGTTTTCGGTTCTCGAGAGGGCGTCGCGGCCGTTATTTTCCAGGCTTGCGCCCGCCAGGTTTGGGCCTTAGGTCGTTTTCACTAAACCACGTTTTACTAAAGGGAGGTCTGTCCGTCCCCGATGTGACAAACACATGGAGACACGATTCGCACTTGAGATCGTGCCACCGGGATCTCGTCAGCCTCGTGCACGTCTTCTTTGGGACGTGCGACTCCGCCCCGCCCGGTGCGGGGGGGGTCGCACTCGGCACGGTCGGAGGGCTCCCTTTGGGCGCTCCCCGCACCCGCTGCGTGGAGCTGCCGTGAGGTCCCGTGCACGCCCCTCCCGAGATCGCAGGACTCCTTCCCCCAGCCCCAAGCGCCGAAGGGAGGCTTGGCACCGCTCGGAATTTGTCCCCTCGGCGAGGACCCTCGAGGAGCCTCGTGGGCCACCCCGCGAAAAAGTGCACGCACGGAGTCACGGACATGCAACAGGGGCGGACGTCCGGGCGATGGCGAGGAGGGGGAGGAAGGAGGAGGAGGAGGAGGAGGAGGAGGAGGAGGCGGAGGAGGAGGAGGAAAGAACCGAGGGAGGAGGAGGAGGAGGTGCAGCAAGATCGGCTGGGGGCTCCCCCTGCGGAGCGTTCCGCGGCTCCACGCTCCCCCGCCGTGCGGAGCTGCGCCGGGGCCTCGCGAGCGGGCGCCGGCAGGGGGCCCCTCGGAGCGGAGAGCCCCGGGAGGCTCCCGCTGGGAGGCCCCCCACTCCAAGCCTCCTCCTCCTCCTCCTCCTACCTCCTCATCCTCCTCCTCCTCCTCTCCTCCTCCCCTCCTCCCCCATCCTCCTCCCCCCTCCCCCTCCCCCCCCTCACCTCCTCCTCTCCCTCCCTCCTCCCGTCTGTGCCTCCACGCCGCATCCTTCGGTCTGACTCGAAGCCCTCTCGGAGCACTCGGAGCTCTCTCGGGTGCGCCCAGGGGCGCTGTCCGAGGCATCCCGGAGCTCCTTTAGGGCGTCCCGGGGAGTCCCCACGGGAGCCCGCCTTCAACAAGCACGGTCTGGTCTTCGCCCTTGCCAGGGCGAGTCTGAAGCCGACGATGGCGATCTTGTGTCTGTCACTGCTCGTCACCAGAGCGAGTTCCTTCTTGAATTGTTGGTCACGGAGGTGGCTAGGTTGGCATGCAGTTCTTCAAGCGTCCCTCCTCCTGAAGATGGCCATGCGGCTGATCGTGCTGTGCGGCTCGCCCGGTTCCGCGTCCATGCGGAGCCGCATCGCAATGCTCCTAGTAATCGTCGGCCTCTCCGCGGTATCCGCGGTGCTTGGGGTGCGACTTCCGGTCGTCGAATAGACCGCAGAGCACGACGGTTTGGGACGACTGGCAGTGAGCAGTGCTGGGCTTGCGTGCGGCGCGCCAGGGTCGCCATGCGGCGTTTCTCATTTCCCCCCTTCTGTTTTCGGACCTGCCTCTGCGTATGGACCGTGTGGAGGCAGCTCCTGAATCCATGCTCCACACTCTCCCCCCGGGCGCCACCCCCAGGTCAAGCGGCACGGCACAACTCGTCTCGAGACCCTCCTGGAGTTCCTGGAGCTCCTCTGGGGGCAGCCCCCCAGGATGCGAGGCCCCCGAGGGGCTCTCTTCGACGACCTCCGCCAGCCTGTCAGCCCCTCCCGCCTGGCACTCCGCCTGCCCCACCCACGTTTGCCGCTGCCCTGCACCTCGACTCGTCGGCGACTCGCTGCGCATGTGGTGGTCTGGCGCCTGGCGGGCGCGGCGGTCGCGAACGTCGGGCGAGGGCATCAGGCGGCTCGCGCCAGAAAGCGACCCCTCTCCCTTCCCTTGGCATCGCTCGGACGTGTGCATTTCTCCTTCGGTGAGGACCATCGAGGAGCATCGAGGAGCACCCTTCATCATGTGGCGAATAAACCACGCACGAAACCGCAAAAAAACACAGGGAATGGACGTGCGAGCGATGCCCAGTTCTCGGAATGCCTTGCCCTTGGCCCCCCCCTGCGCCCGTCGCCGCCGCGGCCGAGCGAGCGCACCGGCGGAGCCTGCGCCCGGGCTCGGCACTGCCGCTCGGGGGGGCCCGCATGTGGCTCTCCGAGGCAGAGGAGGCGGGGACGGGGAGGCAGGCGGGGAGGACACGCAGTCGGTCTCCCCCGCCCCCGCCGTGGCAAGCTTTCGTCTCAAGCTCTGGGGCCAAGGTCTGCCAAGTCCGTGGTGGGTGCATGCCTTTTGAAGGCTCTGGGGCCAAGTTCCTCTGTGTTCCCCGCGGTCCAGCCTGAGCCTGAGTGGAGAGGCCTCCAGATTCAATCCACCCCTCGGACGCGTCGCATTGCCTCCTTGGGCGCCAGGTTCAAGCCATGTGGGCAGGGCGTGGTATATGGACTAAGCCAGCCGGGCTGCTGGGAAGCCCCCCAGCGCATGCCTTCACTTTGCCACATGATTGCCATTACTTTGGGTGTAAACCACGAATGACGCTTGCGACCACCGTGCTTTCCAGTGTGGTAACACCAGAAAGCTGGGCCCGCTAGGGGGTTAAGGCCCCCCACAGCCATCGCTTCACGCGCTCCGCCTCCTACTCTTCTTCCCCCTCCTTGACGCTTTGAAGCTGCAAGCGATCGG